TATGCAAAATGCAAAATGCAAAATACAAAATAAACATCAAAGTGCAAAACACAAAATAAATATCAAAGTGAAAATACAATACGCTAGAAACAACAAATTGCAAAAAAAAAAAAAAAAAACAACGAAATCGAATATATGTTGCAATCGACACCAGAAAATAACATGAACAAAAAAAAAAAAAAAACAAAAGTATCACAAAACAGCAAAATGAAAACACAAAATAATGTAACACAAACCAGGAAATTCCAAACAAACAATCAACAGATTTAGGAGGAAAAAAGACAAATTTAACAAAATACTCCAAAGGGCCGAAAAGCACAACAGACGACAAAACAAAAAATCGCAATCGAGATCTGAAAATATGTAACAAAAACGCAAAACAACCGGAAAAATATTTTAAATGAACAGTAAAACCAAACAAAAAATAATGTCAAAAAAAAAATAAAAAAAAAATTACATGGGTTAAAACCTCTAATTTGCATCTTTCACTTATGTTATAAAAATAACCCATTGCATTCCGTCAATGAATCGCCATTAAAGACATTTACAAAATCACAAATCAAATTACCTGTACGTTTCGATTTTGCACTATCCTCTAGGATGTGTTTTTTTTGTTGGCGATTTGCAGAAGTTATAGAGATTCCATCGTTCTCGAGAACAACGATAGGGTTACAGAGATTGCATTGAAGAAAAGGGGGCAGGGAGAAATTTTGTTTTTCGAGAGATTAACGATGGAAAAATACAATTTGGGGAGGATTTGCAATTGACGTTTTGCAGCACGACTTATGCTAAAACCGTTTTTTATGGAGGATTAATAGGAATATATAAATTTAAGAATACAATTTTCCTATTTTCGCTAAAGGGCAAATCAGCCATAAAAAAATGTAGGAGGTTATAGCCATATTGGACTTATGACTTGGATTTTAACAAATATAATTTAATAATGGAGGGTCTATAGAAAATTACCCCATATATCAATTCAACAATTCGCTTTTAAGACGGATTAAATAGTTATCGTAATTAAGTCTTGTATATCCCCACATAATAATTTCTTCAATAACTCCTATATTAGCACTTGAGCAGCGAGTAAATGATAGCATCCGAATCGAGATTAATTCTATTTTATGAGTAAAAATAATAATTAGAAGTGTAAGAACTCATATACATGAATATCTAGTTGATAGAATTTCAATAAATTTCTGTAAAAAAATTGTCATTTTTTATATTTATTTTATATTAATTTATATAAATAAAATATAATATTCATAAAAATCAAATATGTTATCTTCTTAAGTAAATAAACGCAATCACATTCGCTAGTAAATTTTATGGTACTCTACAACAATTCACTTACTATTTAAAGCAAACAATTCCACATAATTTTCTATTCACCAAATATAAGTAAAATATGTCACTTTTCTATTGGGAAAAAAACAATTAATATTTTTTGCCTATTTTGCCCTTACTTTTCACCACCCTAATACTACCCTTGTTGACTCATTTTGAAAGGTCTCAGATCTTGTCTATATATTGAACGCAATTGTACTATGACACATCAGAACACATCAAACACACGAGTAAAAGGCGTAAGAGATATTGTGTTTGTGTGAATAAAAAACACAAGGTGAAAACCATATAGATTTTGAATCAAAATTAATACTTGAAGATGGAGAAAACAGGAAGATCAAACATAGAATATAAATATACGAGAAGAGCACGCACATCAGGTACAATTGCACACAATTTTTCCTACAATTCGGTTTTGAAGATTTAATCCATTTGAACAATGTGCATAGATTTGTTCTTTTTTTTTTCAATTTAATTTTCACATCTCTCGTTTGCAGAAGTAAAAAACAATTGTTAATTCGCTAGATTTAGTTTTAGGATGGTCGATCTTCTATTAGCAAATTTGGTGCGATTTAAGTTCCTAAATATTTTTGACGCTTCGTGGATATCCTTGTGTTAATTAGATAAAAAACGATCTTTTGCCGCTTTCATATATCATTCTATTCTGATTTCTTTTATATTTGATGAGCAACGTCTTATTTAATTTTGATATATATGATACTTTTTAGAATTAAAAAAATGGTCAAACATAGAAAACGCATTAATATAAATTATTTTGGTTTTGTTCATGTGCTAATTGAATCCCAATGTTCCATGTTTTCATTTGAATCCAACACATTGTAATTAATTCCTTAATTGTATCAAAAAATTCACAGTTAAGGATTGGTCTTTATTTTATGACAAAACAAAATGTGACCATATGGATCAAATTATAAAAGGTTTTTAATGTGGATGAAATTTATTTTGATGAAAAAGGGAAAATTTAAGTTAATATAATTTTAATCTTTTTAAGGGTACATCTCTATTTCAATTCATGTATTATGTTGCATATATCATTTATCGTTACACGGTCATATGTGTATACATATTAAATAAACTTCAACATAAAACATATGAGTAAAAAATGTTACATAGTATCAAGAGTGTGAAATTGGTGCACTAAAAGTGAACTTCTCGTGCTTTTTACACAATTTGTAAGCTATTGGACAAAAATGAAAGAAATTCACACCAATATACTTGGTTCCTTGTACGTGATAAAATTGGTCATAAAACAAAACCAACAAGTAGCAGAAAACTGGCTAGTTAATTTAATTTATATATGTTCTTGAACTAGTTTGATTTTTTAGTTTGCTCTACTTATATATTTTTGAAAAATATTGATTTTTGTTTATTGCATTGCATATATGAATCCTACATCACATGCATGTTTATATTTTGTTTAAGAAATTACATATGAACTATGTATATGCATTTGAACTATATACAGTTAAACATTTATAAATTACAGTTGGGACTAGGGAAATTCCATTAATTTAACGAATTATTAAATTATTGAGTTAATAATTTAACACGTTTTCATCGAGTCTGGACCGAGACAAACTATTATTTAATCGAGGTTATTAATTTATCGAGTATTAACGTATCGAGGTTCTGCATTACAACGTTTAGCCAATTATATATTTGTGATTATATGTTAATAACCCAATTAATATTCTCTTTA